CTTTTCATTTTTAGCAAAGATCGTCCTTTCGTGACATTTAAAGCCCCTGATAATGTGAAATATCCATCCATGGAGCTGGCTTACGCTGCTGGTCGCGCCGGAGGGACCATGACTAGAGTTCTAAGTGCATCAAACGAAAAGGCAGTGGAATTATTTATTAGTGAGAGATTTTTGATTAAACAGAACAGTGTCATCGGAATCAAAACAAATCCGTTCGTCAATCTAAAGATTCGTCGGAATCAGTGACGCTGCTACCACGGGTAGGACACTAGAGCAGTGTCATAGAAGGACGAAACTCGCCGGAACCCTAATCAGTTGGGTTTTGATTAAACGGAAAAAGAAATAAGGAATGTAAAAGATTCTTTTGTTAATAATATATTTCTGCTTGATTTTTGTGATTTTGAAGGCTCAACCATTGTTTACAGTAACGTGGAGGGGAAAAGAGGGATTGGGGGCGAGAAGAAAGGTGAGAGAAACTGAGTAAGAGAAGAAAATTGGGACGGGGAGGGTGGTAATTTCCATTAACTTATTAACTTTACCTTTTTTTATTAGTTTAATTCATTTCTAATCAAAATCACTAGTATCACTCTCTTTACACGCGTGTGTTACACATAATTTGTCCACCTCAGTTATGTCAATGTCACATAAGCTCGGTCAATGGTCAGAGGGATTTAGAAAATTAGATTTGAACGAGTGTAAGTGTTCAATTGGCAAAATGATAAGTTTGGGGACCGGCATGACAAAGTGGCACAAGTATAAGTGTCATTTAGGCTATTCTGCCGAAATTTTATTGCAAAACTTTAGAACACACCTCAAAAGCGTTGCATTTAGGATTAAAAAATGGCAATACTTGCATAAAAATGGCAACGCTTTGCAAGTATTGTATTACAGGTGGATAAGCGTTGCTAATTGTTTTATGATTTGGCAAAACTTAAAATGCGTAGCCTTTTTATTGTAAAAGCACAGTTTTAAAGTGTTGCTTAAATTTCGTTGCCAAAAGTTCTCCTCAAAGGCCACCCTTGAAAAGCGTCCCCTTAGATATATTTGGCAATACTTTTTAAGCGTTGTCTAAAATTATTGTGGTCTTAGACCAAATTTGTTGTAGTGATAATTTTGTATTAAAAGTTACCGAACATGAGTAGGATAGGAGGAGTCAGTGCAGTGGCCCAACTTGTTTTTGACATTCCATTGCAATATGTGGAGATAATAAATGGAATTCTGCTGCTATTAATTGTTATCAGTATATCATTATTATATATTTTTGGCTAATTCAAGTTACTATCGCTGAGCTTATCCTATGGTTGTGGTTATTTGTTGTTTGTTGTTCCACTCCTAATTAGCTACATTTTGACATCTTATGTCTAAAGGACTAAAAAAAATCTTCAGTTGCGACTGAAGAAGTTTTGATTTAGATTGAGTTACTTTATCGGGTAAATCGATAACCGAACCGATAACAGTTGATAACCGATTACCGATAATCGATAACCAATTTCTTATTGGTTTGCTTATCGGTTTTGCATACTTATAAATCGATAACCGATATGTCGAACCGATAATATTCACAACCGAACCAAACCAACTGATGTCCACCCCTACCTATGAGTTTTCGATCTGCAACGAAAGATTTATTTTTTATGGAATATAAATTGTAGGGTAGTCCAATATTAAGAATTTATCGATACAATGTGAGAATTTGCCTATGAGTTTTCGATCATTATTAGAATGAAGGCTGGTTCTGCTATTTTAATTACGCGATTTTAGTCTTGTTATGGTGTGACTACATATTTTGTGGTCTCCAGCCATATTGTCAATTTTTTTTTTTCATGCTCATTTTGCCATTTTCCTGTTAAATAAATGTTGCGTTTGGGGAGGAAAAATATCCTTTCTTTCTTTGTAATATAAAGTGGGAAAATTCCCTTGCAAAAAATAAAGCTGATAAATAATTTTATATTTGTTACTACTTCATAAAAGTAGATAATTGAGATTGCACGATATTGCTTCTGCAATACCCTATATTTTTTTGAATAAGGGTGTATTGGTCATAATAATAATAATAATAATAATAATAATAATAATAATAATAAGAAGGTAACTACAAAAAAAAAAAAAAAGACAAGCAAATAATGAAACAAAATAATCAAAACAAAAGGAGATAGAATAAAGTGGGCTTAGCCCATGTCATGACAAAAAACAAAAAAAAAAGAGAAGAATAAGAATCTTAAAAGGGCACGAAGCCATTCTCTGGAAAAACATTAGAAAAACAGAAGGGGGAAAGCAGCAAGCTGCGAAAAAGGAGAACAAGAGCAGCGGGTTTCAGAAAAAAAAAAAAGGGAAAAGAAAAGAAGAAGAAGAAGAAAAGTTTGGGCAAAGGCCTTAAGAAGAATTGGGAGTTGAAATTAAAAGTATTCGACTCAAGAGACCTTCTTCTTCTCATCTGTTGAATTATTTCACTATATTTATGCAATTTCATGTGGTACAAAGGAATTCAATATCAACTTTCTTTTATATATAAAGAAATATACAATTACTATGGAGATAACAAGGTTATAAAGGTTTGGTTTAAGCAATGATAGGTCTACTTCTAGAGGAATAAATTATATTAAATAGTTTGAAATTGATAGAATTATGGACTAGTTCTATGATTAAATATAAATACCTTTTTATTTACAAGATTTTTGGACTAATTTAAATTACTCATAGCATGGGTAAATNTTTAGCAAGTTTAGAACTTAGAATTTGAAATTCAAACCAAAATCCAGATCTGAAACACTGAAGTTCCCTTAGATCTTAGTCTTCTTCAATAAAACAAAAAAAAACAGAAAAATCAAAAATACTGCTCTATTGAAATTTCCTTGGTGTTTCTGATTGCTGAAACTTTGGACGTAGCCTAAGTTTAATTGCAAGTCTATTTGAGTTCAAACAAGCCTATTTGGTTATTTTGTGGGTACTACACTCCTGTCGTTCAGTTCTGGGTGTTGTGGTGCTATTTTGGTTTAAAAATTGGCTCCATTTGCTGTTGATATGAGCTGCTGCTTGTCACTGCTGATCACCTCTTCTCTTATCTTGTTTCATTATCCAGGTACACACTTGGATCTACCTTGATGTAGCCTTCAAGTTGGAAATAGAATGAATTTGCTTCCCTGATACTTGCTTGTTGGATCATTTCTGTCAATAGCTAGATAAATGTTCATTGTTGCATGTATTTGTCTGGTGTAGTTTAGTTTTGGTCTGTACTAAGCATAAACAATGGACTATGGATTGATATACTTTCATTAAGATTGTTTCATTGGATTAATTGACTGAGACTTGGACTATAGACCTCTGTTTCACTCATTTCGTCTGTATTCTGTAGTTAGGTCCTATGCATAAATCGTTAGGTCTACTGTTTTATTTCAAATGTAGTTGATGCTACCAGTTTCTAGTGTGGATGATACAATTGAATGTTGGAACAGCTGGTGTAATTCAGTCATATTACAAATGTTAGAACACATAGGCATGATTTAAATCTGGAAACGGCATACATGCTTATAACAATGTGCAGTCAATTACATCTAGTAGTCTAAAGGCGTAGTCATTTCCAGTGATTCATCTCCAAGTTTAATTCACAAATAAAAAAAAAACTTCTGAACGTGTATTGAATGAAATTATTTGGTTATTAAAACCTCAGAATAAATGAGTTTGTAGTCATCAGTATACACCTGAATTTAAGTCAACATGTTTTGATTTGAGTAAATATGAAACTATTCATTTGTTCACAAATTGACTAGTCCAGTCGTGACTTGGGTTCAAAGACTCAATCTAATATTGGACTTGGATTCCTTCATGGGCCGAACCTGATGGCCCTTGTTTTAATAGAAGCTGGGCCTAAATTTTGTTCGTGCAAGGCCCACGTTTGGGCAGTTTTGTTTTCAGGAGCATAACTGAATCTGCTTAGGGCCAGGTTGAGGCCCAATAAAATGGTGAAAGTTTCAAATCACGAGTCTTGGGCTAATTGTTGAGGCCCAATAGAATGCTGGAAGCTAAAAATCCATTAAAATTACATTAGGGATATGGGGGCTTAATTTGCAATATAAAATTAGGTTTTCGAGTTAGGTAGCGGGTTCAAATTAAGAGGGTCCTCTCTTTTGTTTGAATTCGGACTTGAACTCGAGGCCCGAATTTATAAATGCAAATTAATTAGGCCCTTTTAGAGACAAAAGAAATAGAAAATCGTAGTTGCTTTAGGTTGGCCTTTAAATAAAAATGAGATGAGCCTCGCCAAACAAAACACATAAATTGCGGGGCCCTCGGTAATTGTTCCTATTAAAATCCTTAGAATTCGGGGCGTGCCGTTTAGGGAATTTCACGGCCCTCCACAAAGTTAATAAGACGCTAGCCACTTTAGGCACGCTTTTAATAATTTTACTTTCCTAAACTCGGGTGCGCATTTCATGCAACCCAAATCCAAATCCCAAACGTTGAATAAGAGGTGTTTAGGATCCGGGTGCATTTCATGTGACGTGATCCAAAATCACGCTCTTAAACGGCGTTCACTTTCGTAAAAACAAAATAAACTAAAAGCGGTAAATAATCTTAAAATTGCACTATAGGTTTAAATATGTATAAAAACCACATTTTAGCCATTTATGATAATTTAAGCGACCGTACTAGAACCACGGGATCCGAGGGTGCCTAACACCTTCCCTCGGGTCAACAGAATTCCTTACACAGAATTTCTGGTTCGCAGACTCCAATTGGGAAGTCGAAATTTTCCTTGATTTGGGATTTAAATTAAATCGGTGACTTGGGACACCAAAAGCCAATCCTATCCCAAGTGGCGACTCTGAAAATAAATAAATGATCCCATTTCGAATAATGTCACTTTAAATGNTACCCAAGTGGCGACTCTGAAAATAAATAAATGATACCCATTTCGAATAATGTCACTTTAAATGGAAAAACTCCCTTATACATTTATCCTTCGGGGTATGTGTGTAAAAAAAGAGGTGTGACAGTTCTCATCACGAATTGCTTGTAAAGTTCGGAAGTTATGACTACAACCTCACTTCCTTGGTGGTAGAACCATAAATACACCTTCTACAAGTTTAGACAAATCAGCACACATATGAATAATGTGATAAATACTACTAATCTCACCTAGCAAAGAAACTCCAATTATTTGTAAACATAAAATTGTTAGAAATGAGACATAAAACCACTGAAATATGAAATGGACAGAGGCATTTGCGGATAGAGAAACCAAAACAAGGAAACACACTTATACATTCAAGACATGTATAAACCAGCAAACAAGTATGGCTAGACGTTAACGAAATTACATGCTTGACTTACTACTGCATCTTGGGTGTCTTCATGAACTTGCTTCTCTTCCTTTGTACGAATTTCAACAAATATTTCAGTTGATGGTTCATCATTGTTCTCTTTGGTTGCACACTACAAATTAATATTATATCAAACGAAGTAAAACAACAAATATCAATGTATTCTAACAAAGTATGAAAGAAATAAAAGTTTTAAATTTTCCACGAAGTGTCTTATTAGTATTCCAAACGCTACATTATTTAGAAATGGACAAACATTGTTCAGGAAAGCATATATGTTATGCAAGAATGCACAAAAAATGTAGAACTCTTTCTACAATTGCAGAAAACTGTGCAAAAATGAAGAACATTGCAAAAATGCAAAAAACTATTACGTTTGATTTTGATTAATTCAGGAAAAAAAAATTAAAAACAATACATTTTACTATAGATCATCAATACAAGTCATGTGATACTCTTGATTCCAGGCTTGAACAAAAAAACATGGATTGTGGTTGTATATTGTACCAGATTAGAAAAGCAAATTGAATGCGGCATACTACAAGAACATAATTGGACTATAGTCAGTCAGTTCATACTTGTGTATATAATTATGGTTTTCCATTACTCCTTTTTTTTTTATGTGAACACTTCACGCCTGTGTATGGCCTGTCTTAAGGTGCTGAATATATTTTGTCTTTCTCATTCAGAGTAAAATTATCAGGTTTTTCTGATATAGCAAAACTAGAAGACAGATCAACAACAAAAATTGCAAAGTTTTTAAATTTTTGCTTTTGAACTATTATTAGCTTTAGAAGTGTAAAGACTCGAAACTTCAGGAGCTGGAACAGATGTTGGTTCAATTACCTACTTGAGCTGATTTTGTGCAGATTCAATAGCGGGAATAAATCCTTTCAAGATATCCAAACTCAATTCTGCAGCAAGCAGATCCTGATATTTGTGTACTTTCAATAATAGCAATTAGAAATTAAAATAGTAAGTCAACGAAGCCAAGACAAATTTATCTGTTTAGTTGAACTCAGGGAGGAAAGATCTTAAATAGTTAGTACATAGTAAAGACAAAATCGACAGCAACAATCTGCACATTTCACATATGAATTGACATTAATTGAGATTCATGCTCAAACAATTGATATAGTGCAAAATATTACCTTTACCACAGAAGACGATGAAAGTTTGAATCTGCTGGTGGATTACACTCAATCATCAACTACTGCCTACATAATTTCAAGTTCAACATAAGAGTTAGAGTCATGGATGAAAGCATTACTTTCAAATAATAATGACATCATTCATATATTGCACAATTTCATGCTGTTGCGTGGAATATCCTTGTATAGCAACATCAACAATGGTTCCTAGTACATTGCACAACTAGACACAAAGAGAAAATAGCTTGGACAGAACACCAATGAACAATATACTTGACCATCAAAACGTGGATAAACAATCAAACTTACAACTAGCAGACAAATTACAAAAGCTAAATCATCCTAAAATCAACTCTCTCTGTAAATAAAATTATTATTCAACGGCAAGCTTATGACTTTTAAAATGAAGGATTTATCCACCAAAATGGACCTCGGTATTATATCTTCCGACTAATTTCAACTTTTCCTTCTCTTTTTTCTTTTCTTTTCTTTCTATTCACCAAATATGATATATAATAGGATCATTCTTCACAATATAAAGGCAAAAGAAACATTACACAAAATTGAATTATGTAGCTCTCCTATGCTCCATCATCCTATAATCTTATTCCTCTGTCATACAAATAAATTTGGAAGTTCAGTAACGTTTCAATATGGACAGACAATAGAGATTTATAGTCAGGGAAAAATATCGAGTTCATACAACTGAAATCAGCACAAATCATGCTTCGTCTCCCACATCTCTAGCTTCTTCAATTCATCAAATACTCCCAAATCGAACAAACCAAAGTTCACCTTTCCAATATTAAGATTAAAGAATCTTCAAATCAGTAGCCAAAATCTAAGATCCAACTTATACACTAAGAGCAAGAATCAACATGAGACCAATTAAATCACAAACATAGCTCGTACTATTTGTTCGGGAAAGCTTAGAAGTTCAGATCTCCAAAAGCATCTGAGAAATATTTCAATACATCTTTGAGATTGTTCGAATCCTAAAAACTCAATATTTAGGGCTTTTGAAAACGAAGATATTTCAAAATTTAGCCAAAAGAATTGTTCTGGCGTGTTCAAGCAATATCAAGATTCTTAAACAACAAGCATATCAATTCCATAAATGTACAAATTCTGGCGTGTCACTAACCGTGTTGGTTTAGTTTAGAGCTAAAATAGATTAGATTTATGTTTAACGCTTAAAAAAGGCCATATACCTATTGGACTAACATATAAGACTCTCAAGCCATAAAAAATATTGTATTAATGCTCATTCTTACCAAAAAATCAATGGGAGATTTATGATTAGGGTTTGAAATATGCCTTTGACCTGTTCATAGCAACCAATAGAGCAAATATTTGAGCCAGTGAGTTGATCATTTTCAGTGAAAAGATGGTGGTGGGAGGAGCAGTAACATCAGCAGGAGCCGATGGATCGAGATTCAGCGGAGGAGGAGGAATATGGGATGGCTATTCAAAATTGATTTAGGGGGTACACTTCTTGCCCTTTCAAAGTTGGGTGAACAGTAATGGGGGGAATTTTTTGGTGGGGAAAATTTAATGGTAGGCATTTCTAATGAAATTTTATGGCAGAATAGCCTAAACGACACTTATATTTGTGCCACTTTGTTATGCCGGTCCCCAAACTTTTCATTTTGCCAATTGAACACTTACACTCGTTCAAATCGTGTATAATAAACGCTTATGATAGGAGGCTACCCGTGCGTGTAATACAATCTCCTACACGTAGGACGCCACATCATTACGAGTGCCACATAGGAAAATAAACTATTGAAAAATAGGACAGTCCACCCAAACCTAATATTTCCTGTCATTTTACACTTTATGGATTATTCCACCTCAATAAACAACCTCATGGCCACTATTACAACCTCTTTCTTTTTTGACCACCGTGAACCATTCCCTCATCAAAGATGGTCCTTTCAAAATCTTACCCAGCAAAGACCGTCCTTTCATTTTTAGCAAAGATCGTCCTTTCGTGACATTTAAAGCCCCTGATAATGTGAAATATCCATCCATGGAGCTGGCTTACGCCGCTGGTCGCGCCGGAGGGACCATGACTGGAGTTCTAAGTGCATCAAACGAAAAGGCAGTGGAATTATTTATTAGTGAGAGATTTTTGATTAAACAGAACAGTGTCATCGGAATCAAAACAGATCCGTTCGTCAACCTAAAGATTCGTCGGAATCAGTGACGGTACTACCACGGGTAGGACACTAGAGCAGTATCATAGAAGGACGAAACTCGCCGGAACCCTAATCAGTTGGGTTTTGATTAAACAGAAAAAGAAATAAGGAACGTAAAAGATTCTTTTGTTAATAATATATTTCTGCCTGATTTTTGTGATTTTGAAGGCTCAGCCATTGTTTACAGTAACGTGGAGGGGAAAAGAGGGATTGGGGGCGAGAAGAAAGGTGAGAGAAACTGAAAAAGAGAAGAAAATTTGGGACGGGGAGGGTGGTAATATCCATTAACTTATTAACTTTACCTTTTTTTATTAGTTTAATTCATTTCTAATCAAAATCACTAGTATCACTCTCTTTACACGCGTGTGTTACACATAATTTGTCCACCTCAGTTATGTCAATGCCACATAAGCTCGGTCAATGGTCAGAGGGATTTAGAAAATTAGATTTGAACGAGTGTAAGTGTTCAATTGGCAAAATGATAAGTTTGGGGACCGGCATGACAAAGTGGCACAAGTATAAGTGCCATTTAGGCTATTCTGCCTTATTTATTCTACAAAAGTCAAAAGTGATTTACCTTTTGGAGACAACATAATAATGTTTTTGCTAGTCCAACTCCTTCTTACAAGGCAAGTTAATCCATTTAGATTCATGATTAGCAATTATCATTCATGTGTCATTCTTACCACTAGTATCATTGCATTATACTAGTTAGTACATATACTAAGTGCCCGTTTGGACATAAAATTTGATGGAAGATTTTTTTTAAAATATTTTACTTTTTTTCAATTTTCACTTGACGATGCATTTTGGAAATTTTCGAAAATTTAAAAAACTGCAAAAAGCTGTTTTTCAAAATCACTCAAATCACTCACAAAACTTCAAAAACAACCCAAACTGAAACTTATGTCCAAACACAACTCTAAAATTCAAATACCATTTTCAATTGAAAAATATTTTCACCATTTTTCCGAATTTTACTATTCTTATGTCCAAACGCCTACTAAGGTTCCCTTTTTCCTTTACTTTCTCCTTACAAATAAAAGCAGTAATGATAGATTCATTATTTAAACACTAATTATACTTATTTTTTACGCATATATAAGATTTTTCTAAACTTATATCTTCAAGTTAAAATAAATAAAATAACATACTTATGGGTGTCATTCTATCATATGTTTGCCAACTAGTTAATACTACCAATTATGATTAAGTTCCCATTTGGTCATAAAATTTCGGAGCTTTTCTCAAAAAAAAAAAAATCCAAATATCTGTTTGTTTATAAATTTTAACCATTTTTTGGCAGATTTTGAAGAAAAAAAAATCTTCAAATCCCGAGAACAGCTCTAGAATAGTTTTTGAAGTTTTTGAAGTTTTCTACTTACAAAACTTCAAATTCTTTTAAGGTAAAATGCATGTCTCAAACACAATTTTAACTTTCAAAAATTATTTTTTATCTTATCTTCAAACACTCATTTTTTTCAAGTTTCAGTTAAATTTATGTCCAAACGCTAGCTAAAATTATATACGCTTAGTGGAAGGGTAGAATATTCCAAATTTCTATGAGATTTGGCCAACCACCAAAACCTTGAGAATATCAAATTAGAAGAAAGAAACGTTAAGAAGACAAAATGAAAAATTAAAAACAAAAACACAATCAATAATATGTTCCAAATGGAAGAGGACAATATTTTCTTGAAATTTCATTTAAAAAAGCCATTCACTATTTCACTTGATATTTTTTATAACTATGACAATTGACACCTGCTTAAGTTATAGAAGAGTTGTAAAGTAATGTGAAAGAGCCAATAAAGGAAAATGAATATAAATGAGTACGATTTTTTAAATAATTTTATTTTTAAAGCTTAAACAAGATTTAGTAATTAGACTAGAGAAAGAAATGAATGTCTGTAAATACAAAATTTTATTTTCTTTAAATATAAGATACTTTAATGATTGATCTCTTACTGACAAATGTTGAGACACATATCATGACTTGGCTAGGATGAGGAAGTCAACGAAAAAAGAAAAAGCATGTCAAGATTACAACATTTATTGTGATAGTTAATGGTCACATTTGGTGGCTCAATTTGTAATAAACACCAATCTTGTAGCTCAAATGTAATAGAAACCCCACATAATTTAAGTGCGCAAGTTGCATATAAACCAAAATCTAAAGATTATATATATATATATATATATATATATATATATATATATATATATATCTCTTCTACCTTCCACCTTTTCAAACAACTTNTATATATATATATATATATATATTTCCAAAATAGTGTAGTTTGTACCCGAACTGTCCCTTGTCAGTTAAATAGCTAAAAATTATAAAAATGCTTTGCCAAAAAAGTCTAAAGGTAACTCTCTACAAAAAGTGAAATTAGATAAATAGTTTTACAGTAGTCGAAGGGGAGAATTATCTTTGTGTAACTTATAAGTCACGAGTTGAAACCGTGGAATCAGGCACTACTGCTTGCATCATGTAGGATGCCTACATTATATACCCACATGGAGTACGACCCTTTCCCGGACCCTACATGAATATGGGATGGGCTATACACCGGACTGCCTTTTTACCTTTACATAGTCCATAGGTAAAAATTGACCTGACGGTGCAAAATTTTTCAACGAGTAAAATTGACCTAATAATTTAAATATAGTCTACAATAGATAGAAGTGACCTAAAAAAATTTATATTATCATTGTATGTAAGTTAAATTCTAATACACACGATATTATAAGGGGTCGTTTGGTACGCGGGCTAAATTATCGCAAGATTACTAATTTATACCATATGAGAGGTGGGATTGAATCCCAAGTTTAATGAGATAAGGTGGGATATATCCTTTATTAAGTCTAGGTTTATATCTCCAACCAAACACAATATAAATTTAATCTCACATCTTATCCCACCTTACCAAACGGTCCTTTAGTAGCATGTAAAAAAGATCTAGGGGCTCAAAAGAAAATACGTCCATTTACAAAAAAAGCCGTTTAACGGTCAACTGTCTTTTCTGAATTCTTCTACAAATAATAATAATAATAATAAATAATAAATAATAAATTACCAAATTGGAAGCATAAGGAAATCTCCATGCCAGTAAGTCTATATTCCATCATTCCACGTTTCCATTTCTAAATATAAATATTTATACATTTACTGTGTATGTATGTGTTAATATTTCCAATTATTAATTAGTGTCAGGCCAGCCCCATTTAAATTTAGAATCATTTAATTTTTTTCTAATTTTTCAAGAAAATTTTGTAAATTGTGTGTATAGAGGAGAGAGAAGAGAAGAGAGAGAGAGAGAGAGAGAGAGAGTCAAATTATTTGGAGAAAGGGTTGTCGAAGAAAGGGAAGAAATGCAGGAGATCCAGTCCATTGTTGTAAAGCTTTAATTTTTTCATCAGAATTGTACTTTACAGGCATTCATTTGAAGGTATATATATAAAATATATAAATGTACATACATATATATATGACTCCACCTGTATAATTCATATAAATGTCTTATGTATGTATTAGGGTATTTGGTGTTGTACAAATATTTGATAAGCAGATCATCAAATTCATCTGAAAAATTTGATCTTTTTTTTGAATTTTTATATGCCCTTTTGCTTAATTTGTCCAGTTTTTTAGTTTTCTTGAACCCCATTTTGGTTTAAATTTTTTTTTATCTTTTTAAAATTTTCATGTACCCTTTTGCTTAATTTGTCTAGTTTTCCAGTTTTCTTGAACCTCAATTTGCTCTAAAATTCCCAGATACCCTTTTGCTTAATTTGTCCAGTTTTCTAGTTTTCTTGAACCCCATTTGGTTAAAAAAAGTGATCTTTTGAAATTTTTCGTATACCCTTTTGCTTAATTTGTCTAGTTTTCCAGTTTTCTTGAACCTCAATTTGGTCTAAAAGTTGATCTTTTTCAAATTGCCAGACACCCTTTTTGCTTAATTTATCTAGTTTTCTAGAACTCCATGAATGAAAAGGTTGGTTTATGATCTTGATTAGTTGAGAGAATTGAGATACACTTCTGATGAAGTTGCCATTATAGATTTTTGATATGTGATGGTTTAATGAGATATTGATGTAAAGTGGTTTTTGAATTCTACATTTGTAGGCTGTAAACCAGGACTAAAGGAGGAGTACCTGCAAGCTCCTGAGTTGTTTTCTTTCCCTTTCTGATTTTTGAGGGTTTAGGAATATTGGAGTTATTAGAGGTTAGGGAGGGAAAGAAAGCATTTACCTTTGTGAGCTAACTCAATTGGGTAAAAAAAAAAGGACAAATTTGTGATTCAATCTTTAGTAAGAATGAACGGCGTCTCTGGTGTGA